GCTGCTGTTCTTGTGCAAGTATTCTTATAATGTCGCCACGCTGAAACGGAGAGGCGCTGATTGCATGGGATTTGAGAGGTTGTGAGCAGCGATCCAACAAGATGATAACTCCTACCGAATGCAGCTGACTGTGAACGAGCGTTTTACTTCATACGGTACTTAACAACTGCATGGGTATGTAGAGTTTAATGACGGGATAGTTAAAAACGGTGGATTGCAAATGAATAGATAAGACGCACTAGGAATTGTCACGGCTAAGTAAAATCATGAAAAGCGTTTGTCAGGTTATATGTGTTCTGACCTCAATTTAACTCCAGTACCTTCCGATTACAACTGGAAATTCGATTCCTGAGTTGGGAGTGCAATGAAAACTAGTTTGGTTATGTTAGATTAGGTTAGGTTAGGTTATGTAATTAGATGTACTTACATTTTTGTTTGAAGTTGACTGCTGTTAAACCCGAAAATACGTCTCTCCACAATAAAACTAAGTCCCAATTATATACGTAACTCTTTTCAGTAATATATACATTGTCAAAAACTCTTTGTCCTTTCAAATACCGATATCCATCTTCCAAGCGATCGTTTCAAACAGAATCCAACCATAAACATTGCCAAAGATATTTTTGGTGCGTTTCGCAAAATATGCGTGAGCATCGCATTGCCTGCATTTACACAGCAGCCATTTTATATTCTGATCCGTCAGTACGATAAAACGAATGCTTTTATGGCCCAAATTTGGTTAAAGCAATGGAGTACTACCTTACACAAAAGCTTGTAGGCATAAATGTTCACTAGAATGGAGAATAATACTCAAGAAATCTGTTGTTATTAATAAAAACTGTTGTTATTAATGAGAATACCATTTTGGGATACGTTAATTTAATTCATACGTCTCATCTGTTTTCCAAAAAATGGGCCAAATCACTAAAACGAATGGGGCAGTGTAACGCGTTTGAAGTCTTTGCTGATGTTTGAACCTGACGAACAAGAAAACCAAAATGGACTACGAAAAATGAAGTTTCCAGTTCGAAACCTAATAATACGATCTTAGACACGACAAGTAAGGGGTATACAGGCGTCCCGAGAAGACGTATATGCTGACGTATGTAATGGTTATGCGTATATATCTTTTTGGGACACACTATATATTTATACAGTTCCGTTTTCTGTTATAATCTTAAGACGACTAAGAAAGGAGAACTTTTCACGAAGACATTGAAACCTGAATAGGGTCAAATGCTAACCTATACGTCGAGCAGAGGTGAAATAAGTTTTCGACTATGTCAACACCAGCCTAACGAGGTAGAGATTGAAGAACTTTCCAGAGTTGAATATATTAGTCTTACAAGGGAAACGGGGCGCTTATTACTGCTTACATCTAAAACAAACTGGGCTTATTTAATAATTACTCTCCACACGCTCAATGCCAAGACTTTTCTGTGACGTACTTACAGTAACATTTTCGACACACAATAAGGCTTCTTCGATGGTCGATCTCTAGAAACACAAACCTATCCCAAACATACTTATTTCTACTTTATTTAACAACGCTTTTTTAAGTAGCTCAGACTATATATATCGTCGAATGAGAGGATGAGAGTGAATTTGGAAGGATGTGGAAGGAAGCGGCCGTGGCCTATTACCCCGGAATTTTCCTGGAGGAACTGAAGAATACCACGGAAAATCCCAGTCAGTATAGCCTGAAGCTTTGCGATATTAAGACCTTAACCTGAACGTTTACCAGAATCGGCGCTCTTAGATTAGATTATTTTGTACTGGATTGGTGAGGCCTGCAGCATGCATAGGTGGAATGAGAATGCAAACGTTTGATCGGAATATTACAAGGAAGGTCAGTTGGGAGATGGAAGGAAAGACTAATATAAAAATTTATATTAAGGAAATAGTTGGGCTGGATTTAAATGAAGGAAATTAATGGCGAGATTTTTTGAAGTGGGAGACGAATATTTGTGTTTGTAATAACAGGAAATATCTTGACCGACTATCAGGTTTGAAGCTACATCTTGTAGTATATATGGAGTTATTTATTTTTGTTGCTATTGTAAAATCAGCTTCACTTTCTACAAACTTGTTTAGTCAAGTATGGATAAGTTCATCTGTTTATTCTTTCCTAATGCAATGCTCTATTGCATCGTGTTTAATCGTTTAATACATCCGTCTGTTTTTAATGGTTTTGTTTATTTATGTCACGTCATGTGAACATAATACCACTTGAACGCAGTGGCTGTCAAGTTGTCAAGTGGAAACATTTCAATCAGGCTTGCGCGAGTTTGCACTCCTTATTCGTGAAGAGAACAGCGACATGACGGCAGTGCTGTTAGGAATGTGCCACTGGAAGAGAGGTCGCAGAACATTTCACGCCGACCATGTTAGCCGTATTAGCCCGGCTAACAATCTCAAGTACTAAAAAATGAAAAGGGTGACTGTTTTAAGAGTTGTAACGCCATGCAGTTTGATGGAAGCTTACCGACTTTTTAGAGGCAGCATGGACCTCGTAAACTTCTACCAGACTACACCGCCGTGAAAACTGAAAATCCTATTGAAAGGTAAAAGGACTACGTTCGCTGGGAGCGTAAGGCTAAAGTAACTGGCTTACAACGCCTGGCTGGGCCTGGCTATCGATGCGTTTTATATGATAGGTTCTGTTCTGTTTCATTGTACCACTGAACCACGAGATTAAGACAGAAACTTAATATTTTTCTTTTTTCAAAGTGTAAGCAGGGCGAACGCGGCTAACATCAATGGCCCTTCTCTTGTGTTTATTTGTATGTACGCCATTTTCGTTAGATTAAACGGTTTACACATTTTTAACGTGTAAAAACAAATACAAACACAGGTATTTGTGTTTCTTCGAAGAAATTCAAGGGCAGATAAAAGTAAAAAGTAACTGGTCAATGTTTCAGTGAGTCAAAGATCCGTCCCTTCTTGGTAGTTTGCTGATGACTTCGTATCCGGAAACAAAGTCAGTTGTCTTGAAATTAAAACATCGAAAAGGACGTAGTTTTTAGAACAAAGTTTAGGCCTACAGAAGGTTTACGCATTAGCAGACACTGATTTCTTTACACTTCAAGATAGTACAGCGAATGAAACTTATAAAATTTCGGGCGATTGACTGCGTTAATTCGAAGAAGTCCAGCGTTTCGGAGGCAATCTCTGTCGCCATTATCAGGGAATTATAAAGTCCAACGTTTCGGAGACGATCTCTTTCGCCATCATCACGAAATGTTAAAGTTTATTGTTTTTGGGACCTTTTGTGTCTTCATAATTCTTTTATGGCTTCTGTTTCGAATTCACGATGCTTATTGACCAAGAAGATATAATTTTTTATATTATTTTCCTGTAATGAGGAACTTTCGGGTTCCATAAGAACGGATAATCCCTTTAATAGCTAATGTAAGGTGTAATCAGTTATTTTAGTAGGCCAGTTATCAGATTTATTATTATTTGTGTATGTGTTCAGCAGTGGATGGTCATTTATTGAGGACAAAACGTTCGTCACCACATCAGAAGTATGCACGCCAGAAATGGTTCTTCACTCAGCCACACAATACTGTATCATTCATAAACTGTAGGAGTAGTGACCGTGTGGATGACAAAGCCAGTTAGGATTGTCTGCAAGTCAATATGCCCAGTTGCTGTAGGGCATTCTCTCCTGTCGGGAGGCTAAATGCCGTCCAGTATCGGGGCTCTGTAAAATTGTCTAAAGAATTATGTAAAAAATTGTCTAACCGCGGGGTGGATAGGAGGAGACAGAAACAGGCAGAGACCCCTCTCAGACTTTGGATGAATAATTTGTGTAAGCATGACGCAGGTTACAAACATTTGAGCGTGTCGCTGGGGTTACCAACACTTTTGTGACAGTAAAGTGGTACAGAATTGGTCGTGATTACATTATGTAGATAGAATCATCTCTGAAAATACACAAATTTTATTGGAGAAGACCTCTTCTGTAGTTTAGGAAAATGAAAAATAGCAAAACGGCTACCGCGAATTTTTGTACTCGTGTAGTTTTTTTGTTGTATTTTTGTTGTGGTGGTTTGTCGTAAGATTTGTTGGTTTCATGAGTGAGGCTGTTATTGATGTGCTGTGGTGTGATGTGTACAAAGTTATAAAATTTTGAAACTGTGGCACAAATTCAGATATGACGTCATATTTTCCTCCTGAATGATTAAATAAAATCGGGGTTCCACTTTGATTAATTATAAAAATTTTAATCCATTATCTGTGGTGAAATTCCGTGGAAACTTAAAATGTTCTATTTCAACGCTTCCTATACCTGTATTGAGTGATGTAATTATTTTCATATAGCCCTTGCAGGATCCGAACCAGCGACACTTTCTGTAACTTGTTGCAGACATGCAATAAGGCATGCATCAAAATAAATCATGCAGTCGTTTATCGTAGATGATAACCATTCCGTACACTGGTAAGCCACTAACACGTGTGGGTAATGTCCTGATCTGATGCAATCAAACCCTTTATCTCTTATCAATGACGTCATTAGGTACCCCACTACACCTGCTAACTGTTGATCTGCATGTTTCTTCAGGAAAGACGAGAAATTCTTGCATTGATCAATCCAACAGATGACTCTGACAATCGGAATTTCAATGGCATCGTTATCATCACCACCGCCTTCATGAGACAGGCTAAATAGCGTGTTCCGGTACACATCTAAGACCGTCTTTTTCTGGTTCTGCCAGATTCTCTTCTTCCCATTGGTTTATATTCATGTGCTATTTCGGGAATCAGTCGGTCATGCGCCCTCTTCAAATGTTGTTTCCGTTTGTCCCTGTATTCTTTAATCTTAGCCTGTGTTTTAAATATTCCAAAATGAATTTCAGTTACGTTGTCTTAAATATCTGGGTTGTGAAAGAGTCGCAGACGGCTCGAATAACAACCCCCCACCCCACCCCATCATCGTGAGTGTAGAACACATGCGATTTGCCCCCCATTAACACGACAATGTCTCTTTGCTTCAGGGCCCACTGGAATTGAAGAAGAGGTTGGAAGAAGTGCGCTTGCTAGAGTCACGGAAATCCGCTCGGCTCATGGATCAAGATACAGACTTCGCGAGGCTAGCTGACATGGCCGGCGACCGCAAGCGACCATCGTCCCACTCCATAGACGTGCCTACAGTGCAGGGGTGAGTCATATCAAATTAATTTTGATGAATTTATTGTCTTTCGTACACAAATTACAGATTGTTGGGTGAGACCCATTGGTTACAAACCCCCTCCTCCCGAATTAACACCAATTTATACATTTACTTGCTCAATTATATTTCTCTGTGAAACACCAGTGCTTCGAAACAGGAAGATTACTGAATTAAAGAATTGTTAACAATAGATTTTAAAAGATAAAGACATAAAGCGTGCTTTAAAATGCCAGTAAAATCTTTGATCGTTGATTCATGTCCGTAGAGGTCGCGCGAGTAGTGGTGGCACCTAAATGCGCGATGTGTAAGTCGAGAGAGGGGAGTTCAGTAGTAGTGGGGGTCGCACAGCCTCAGCTGCGGTGACGCACCGAACTAAACACAGCTAGAGCTACAAACCAACTGAAGCTGACACCCCTCTAGCGCGTGCTTCGGACGGGTCCATCTCATACGACCAAAATCATTCCTTTGCGCAAGTTCCAGCACTTCTCGCGCGACCTCTACATACATTTAATCACATCTTTATAACCTTCACGATAAACTATTTTCTGCAATTTCTCATTGCACGGACATTCAGTTACCGATTTGCACGATAAACTATTTTCTGCAAGTTCACATTGCACGGACATTCAGTTACCGATTTTTTAAAAATGATTTTCTTGTACTCTTCATGAATTTTGGGTACGGCGAAAATACGTCAAGCCCTGTCCTAAATTCCTCCTTCCCTGACACAAGACACTTTCAGTCGTTGTATAATATTGCGTTTCTTTGCGTGTTCTGCTGTCAGGTGGTCGTCGACGTAACATAATAATTCTAAACACATAGCATTCTTCTCCTCATCCATCATTATTGGTTATTATTCGTAATTTTCCTGTTTGTATTTACGTCTCTTTTCCGGTCGCTGGTCAGTGCACCCAGGTTTCGTGAGGCCTTGCTACATCGTTACAGTACATTGCTACTGTTTAAAAGCCTTGTCCGTGTAGTATTTGAAGTCGCCTCTCTGAATCTGTTGCTTGTATATCCACAGATAATTAGGAATCGCGTAACGAATTACTTTGAAGGAAAATATCCCTTTCACATTAAACAAAATTTTAATATAACTTACAAATTTCATTGTGCAGAGCCCTTCTTCAGAAGATGACAGCTACAGAGTCAAAAAGTCACCAACTAGTCAAATGAATTATCGATACCTTCCCATCCGATTTCTCTAAGACAAGTCGAAAAATTTTCCTGCCATCAAGGTAGAGGCCTTCCAAATAGTCTCTTTCCTTGACGTTTTCCGACAAAAGCATGCATGTATTTCTCGTCTGTATCGTTTCCTCTGAATGCCTAGTTCATCTCTTTTCATGTTTCTGATATAATTTAGTGACAAAGAAAAAGTGTGAGTTCTTCATTGTAGTTTTCTTGGCCGGAATAATACCCCGAACAAATAGAAAAAATCACCAATTTATTTACATTTTCCAATACATATTTCATGTTTATAAATATCATATTCTGTATCTTCAAGTACTGAAGTTACCTGGAGTTATGCGCATGCGTATTCTATTCTTACGCACGGGTGAGACAACGTTTGTGGAACTGAGATCATTGTACATCCCTCAGATGTTACATGAGTGAATATGGAGCATTCGTAGAATGTTACTGACAGGGTAAAACCTGTTTCATTGTCACTTTATCCACCAAAAATTCCGCATGGACCACCCAGGCATCCTCGACTAACTACTTGTGCTATGGTACAGTCCCGTATATGTTTCACAACTGTTAACAGGTTGAAGATTTCTGTCTTCTGGGTTGTTGCGCTGTGTAGTCTGGTAGATGTTTACCAACGTTTCAGAGGTCATACTGCC